TGACTGGAAGCTCGCTCGAGATGATTGCGCGCACCAAGAACGACCTCAAGACACGCTTCGAGATGACGGACAGCGGCAAGTGTGCCTTTTTTCTTGGGATCGAGTTATTGGACGGTGAAGATGGCAGCGTGACTATGTGTCAGCGCCGTTATGTCGACGATGTCCTCAAGCGCTTTGGAATGGATGAGTGCAAGGCTGTGGCAAGTCCGGTGGACGTCAGCTCTCGACTGGTTCCGAGCAACTCTGCAAGCAAGGTGGATGTCCCATTCCGTGAAGCAGTGGGTGCTTTGATGCATCTGACGACTGCAACGCGACCGGACATCGCCTATGCTGTAAGCTTTGTGTCACGGTTCATGGAGAAACCCCAAGAAGAACACTGGGTTGCAGTCAAGCGCGGCGAAGTGAAGCTTGAATACTGCGAGACGACGTTGATGTTGGCGGACATCATGACGAAGGGACTTCACGGACCGCGTCACAAGGACTTGACGGCGGCGCTTGGCATCCGTGCGTGTTCGGATTGAGGGGGCGTATTGAGGGTTACCGGTACAATCCGAACCTAGCGCGTAGTTCTTACGAGATAGTTTTTAACATCGGTAATTACCTCAGAGATGATTAGACGCGTAGGATGATTGGACGCGTGTAAATCAGGTTGATTAGATGCACCATGTGATTGGATGCAGTCTAGGGTAGGCAGAAGTTAAGACCTATAAATCAATCACTTTCGAATCCTCCCTCAAGTGAGCAAGTGTTCTCTGCTTCGTTCTCTCCGGTCTCTCCGCTTCGTTTTCTCTTCGCCTCGCGCTCAAGTTACAACTCGTCGAAGTTGACATCGCGACTGATAACCACCTGCCCCGCCTCGATGTCATAAACTCGATACGCCTTCGACACTTCTTCGTAGCCTACGAATATGCCAGTGCGAGCCTCTGGATCCCACTTAAGCCGATTCTCCTTTGGCGTCAGTATGTACGTCTGGCGCCCGAATGCTCGCATGTGCTTGACGCTTGGCTTCGAGTTGTAGAAGATCTCAAACGTATTCTTGAGTACGAATTTAGGTGACGGCAGTCGATTCTTGACGTAGATGGACGTCATCGCTGCTTCAGCCCAGGAACACTTGTCCAATTTGGCATGGTGAAGCATGGTGCGGCCGATCGTAAGGATAGTCCTAATGGCACGCTCTGCTGTTCCGTTGGTTTGATGCGCGTACGGGACCGTGGTCTGCTGCTCAATACCTTGGTCTTGGTAAAACATCTGAATCGAGTTGGTTGCGAGCTCGCAAGCTCCGTCGTGTCGCACAAACTTGACCTTCTTACTGAACTGCGTCTGAACCACAGTGATGTACTTCCGGATGTACTCTTCACTCTCGGACTTCACTCGTAAACAAAAGCCCTTCGTGCATCCACTCCACTGGCTTCGTCTACGATCAGTAGCAGATATCTGCTACCACCGAGCGAATCGTTTTCCATGGGCCCACAGATGTCCAGATGAAGCAGCTCATACTTATGTTGATAGGTGCAAAGCTTGACGACCGAAACTGGGAGTGATGCTAGGAGTCCACTCGGAAGACCGGAGAAGACACTTGGGGGTAGATGGAAGATTGGAAAGTGATTGATTATCGGGGCTTACTACTTACTACATGATTTATGTGTGGTGCACATATAAATCATGTGAAGCGTCTCATCATCCTACGCGTCTAATCAACTATGGTAATTACCGTAAGAACTACGTCGTAGATACTAAGCTGAACAGGCGGTTCGGATTGGACCGGTCACGGTTACCAATACTGGTAGAAACCGATGATCGTCAAAACGCCCCCTCAATCCGAATTCGCACGAATGCCGAGAGCCGTCGTCAAGTCCTTGTGGCGAGGTCCCGAAAGTCCCTTGGTCATGATGTCCGCCATCATCACGGAAGTCTCGCAATACTCGAGCTGCACTTCACCGCGCTTGACCTCATCACGGATGTGATGGTACTTGATGTCGATGTGCTTGGCGCGGCCATGATTCGCCGGATTCTTCGTCATCTTGATGCACGACTGGTTGTCTTCACGGATGACGAGGGCCGGTCCTGGTTCGTTTGCGGCCGCCAAAATCTCGCATAGCAGGCGATGCACCCACTTGCCTTCCTGGATGGCCAGACTCAGTGCGATGTATTCCGGTTCACTCGTCGACAGCGACACACTTGACTGCTTCTTCATCCCCAACTCACAGGAGCACCCATCAGCATGAAAGTGTAACCCGAAGTCGACTTGCGATCAGCGTGGTCGCTGGCCCAGTCCGCGTCCGAGTAGCCACGAAAGTCGATCTTGTCGCTTGGCTGGAAGCGGAGTCCGTGCGAATTGGTCCCTTGCAAGTAACGAAAGATGCGCTTCACCGCCGTCCAATGTTCTTGCTGCGGATTCTCCATGAAGCGCGAGACGTACCCCACAGCATACGCAATGTCCTGGCGCGTCGCAGTCGTCAAGTGCATCAAAGCTCCCACAGCTTCACGAAACGGAACGTCGATCTTGGCCGCTTCGCTGCTTGCGACAAGCCGAGTGCTCAAGTCGACCGGACTTGCTGTGGCCTTGCACTCATCCATGCCGAAGCGCTTGAGGATGTCGTTGACATACCGTCGCTGGCACATCGTCACGCTGCCATCCGATTCGTCCACCAGTTTGATGCCCAGTACAAAAGTACACTTGCCACTGTCGGTCATCTCGAAACGCGTCTTGAGGTCGGCCTTTGTCTGCGCAATCAACTCGAGCGAGCTGCCGGTGACCAACACGTCATCCACGTAGACCAGCACGAGCACACAGTGACCGTCGATAACCTTGATGTAGAGACATGGGTCGAACGCCGACACTTCGAAACCGATAAAGTATACGAACTCGTCGAAAGTCTCGTTCCACACACGTGAAGCTTGCTTGAGACCGTAGATCGCCTTCACCAACTCAAGACAGTCGAAGTCGCCATCCATCTCGACGCCTTCTGGTATCACGCAGTACACCTTCTCCTCCATCACTCCGTAGAGAAAGGCTGTCACCACATCGAGTTGGTCCAGTGGCCAGTCGAAATACTTGGTGATCGCGATCACCATACGCAGTGTCACGTACTTGACCACGGGCGAGAACGTCTCTGTGTAGTCGATACCGTACTTCTGCTTGAAGCCCTTGGCAACGAGACGCGCCTTGTATTTCTTGACCGATCCATCCGCTTTGCGCTTGATCTTGAGCACCCACTTGGTGCCGATCGCGCCTTGGCCTCTTGGCAGTTTTGCCGCACGGAAAACTCCACGAAGATGCATCGACTTGAGTTCCGCCTTCACAGCATTTCGCCAGTGAGATTGATCAGGACCATTGATCGCGTCTTGAAAAGTCACGGGTTCTGCTAGGTCCGTTGCTTCCACTGCGTTTGCACTTGCACGCCAAAATGTTGGGGGCGTCGAGTCGTCATCTTGATCGTAGACGCTCGCATCTTTTTCGTCATCAGACATCGTTTCTGGAGCACTTGATCGTCGTTTCTGGTGACGGTTGGAGACGTGTTCCGGCGCACTTGCTTGTTCCAACCCAGTTCGAGGGCGAGCTGAACGTGACATGCCGGGTCTTGCTTCACTCTTGCGCTTGCCAGTCTGCTTGTAGACGGTTTGACGCACGTCGTCCTCGTTGATCGCCAGGAAGTCGAGGTCCAACTCCGCATCTTCATCATCGTCACTTGGTCGGTCCATCGAAAAGTAAAAAGTCGATTCGTCGAAGGTGATGTCACGACTGATCACCACTTGGCCCGCCTCAATGTAGTACACTCGATAAGCTTTTGACGCTTCTTCGTAGCCCATGAACATCCCTTCACGAGCCTTCGGGTCCCACTTCAATCGCTTCTCCCTTGGTGTCAGGATAAACGCCCAACATTTAAACACGCGCATGTGCTTGACACTTGGTTTCGACTTGTACACGATCTCGAACGGAGTCTTGTGGTCAATCTTGGGTGAAGGCAGGCGGTTCTTGATGTAGATCGCCGTCATTGCCGCTTCAGCCCAGAAACACTTCTCCAGCTTTGCACGATGCAACAAGCTGCGTCCGATCGTGACGATGGTCCTTATCGCGCGTTCTGCGGTGCCGTTGGTCTGGTGTGCATACGGCACCGTGACCTGTTGTTCGATACCATGATCTTCGTAGAAGGTCTTGATGGAGTTGGTCGCAAACTCATGCGCTCCATCGTGCCGAACAAACTTGATCTTCGTGCCGAACTAGTTTGAATCTTGATAATTTGGTTCTTGATACAGTCTTCACTCTCAGACTTGGACCGCAGACAGAAGCCCTTCATGCAACCGCTGGCTTCGTCAACCACAAGCAGTAAGTATCTGCTGCCGCCGATCGATACTTGTTCCATTGGCCCGCAGATGTCGAATTGTAGCAATTCAAACACACCATATTGGCGTTTGTCACGGTTGGTTGGGAATGGTTTTTGGACCATCTTTCCTTGCTAGCAACCGCGACACACACTTGGACCAGTCGAGTTGAGAGGTGCCTTGGCGTCCTTGATCATGCCGGTGGTCACCATCTTGCGCAGAACTTCGAGGGGTGCATGACCCATGCGCGCATGCAAGTCGATAGTCCCATTGCGTGTTGCTGCATTTGCCGATCGTTGAGGAGTCCGCAGCCAGTAAAGTCCATCGACGAGATCCGCTGTTGCCACGACTTGTGTGGAATTCTTGCGCTTCACTTGCATCTTTGTTGTAACTTGAGCGCGAGGCGAAGAGAAAACGAAGCGGAGAGACCGGAGAGAACGAAGCAGAGAACACTTGCTCACTTGAGGGAGGATTCGAAAGTGATTGATTTATAGGTCTTAACTTCTGCCTACCCTAGACTGCATCCAATCACATGGTGCATCTAATCAACCTGATTTACACGCGTCCAATCATCCTACGCGTCTAATCATCTCTGAGGTAATTACCGATGTAAAAACTATCTCGTAAGAACTACGCGCTAGGTTCGGATTGTACCGGTTACCCTCAATACCCCCCCCTCAATACGAACACGTGCGGATGCCAAGCGCCTCTGTCAGCTCCTTGTGACGCGGTCCGTGAAGTCCCTTCGTCATGATGTCCGCCAACATCAACGTCGTCTCGCAGTATTCAAGCTTCACTTCGCCGCGCTTGACTTCATCACGGATGTGATGGTACTTGATGTCGATGTGTTTAGCGCGGCCGTGGTTGACCGGATTCTTCGTCATCTTGATGCACGACTGGTTGTCTTCACGGATGACGAGCTCGGGTCCTTCTTCGTTTGCAGCCGCCATGATCTGGCACAGCAAGCGATTGATCCACTTGCCTTCTTGGATCGCCAGTCTGAGCGCGATGTACTCCGCTTCGCTTGTAGACAGTGACACACTTGGCTGTTTCTTGCTGCCCCAACTCACCGGAGCACCCAATAGCATGAAGACGTAGCCGGACGTCGATTTGCGATCAGCAAGGTCACCGGCCCAGTCTGCATCTGAATAGCCACGAAAGTCGATCTTCGCACTTGGCTTGTAGCAGATTCCATGCATCTTGGTGCCTTGTAGGTAGCGGAAGATGCGCTTGACTGCAACCCAGTGTTCTTCTTGGGGTTTCTCCATGAACCGTGACACAAAGCTTACAGCATAGGCGATGTCCGGTCGCGTTGCAGTCGTCAGATGCATCAAAGCACCCACTGCTTCACGGAATGGGACATCCACCTTGCTTGCAGAGTTGCTCGGAACCAGTCGAGAGCTGACGTCCACCGGACTTGCCACAGCCTTGCACTCATCCATTCCAAAGCGCTTGAGGACATCGTCGACATAACGGCGCTGACACATAGTCACGCTGCCATCTTCACCGTCCAATAACTCGATCCCAAGAACAAAGGCACACTTGCCGCTGTCCGTCATCTCGAAGCGTGTCTTGAGGTCGTTCTTGGTGCGCGCAATCATCTCGAGCGAGCTTCCAGTCACCAAGACATCGTCCACGTAGACCAGCACAAAAACACAATGGCCTTCCGAAGTCATGATGTAGAGACATGGATCGAATCCCGACGCTTGAAAACCAATCGAGCGTATGAACTCGTCGAAGGTCTCGTTCCAAACACGCGAGGCTTGCTTGAGACCGTAGATCGCCTTGATCAGCTCGAGACAGTCGAAATCACCTTCCATCTTGACGCCTTCTGGAACAGCGCAGAACACCTTCTCCTTCATCACTCCATACAGGAACGCAGTCACCACATCGAGCTGGTCGAGGGGCCATCCAAAGTGCTTGGTAATGGCGATGACCATTCGCAGCGTCACATACTTGACCACGGGCGAGAACGTCTCCGTGTAGTCGATGCCATACTTTTGGCGAAAACCCTTGGCCACAAGTCGTGCCTTGTATTTCTCGATCGACCCATCCGCCTTGCGCTTGATCTTGAAGACCCACTTTGTGCCAATGGCGCTTTGTCCGTTGGGTAACTTGGCCGCACGAAAGACACCGCGAAGCTTCATCGAATCGAGCTCCGCATCAATTGCCTTGCGCCAGTGTACTTGGTCCGGGCCAGACACTGCTTCTTCAAATGTCGACGGCTCCGAAAAAATCGACCGCTGCTTCGACGGCGTTTGCACTCGCATGCCAAAACGCGGAGGAAGTCGGTGTGTCATGTTGTTCCTCCGACTTCCTTTCTTCATCTTCGTTGGCTCGACGTGAAGAGAGGTCATCCGGCGCACTTGACTCTTCCAATCCGGGTCGTTGGCGCACTGCTCGGGGGCATGCTTGCGTCGTCATTGTCGTGACTGGGTTGGGCCTTGCGCTTTCCTGTTTGTTTGAAGTGTCTCGGACGCGGTTCTTCATCATCAAGATCGATCGATTCGAAGTCCAGGCCATCAACATCGTCATCGGAAATCAGCATCGACATTCCAAAGGCCGACTCATCGAAGTTGACATCGCGACTTATCATCACCTGCCCCGCTTCGATGTCGTAAACTCGATACGCCTTGGACACTTCTTCGTAGCCCAAAAACAATCCAGCCCGGGCCTTGGGATCCCACTTGAGTCGTTTCTCCTTCGGGGTCAAGATGTATGCTTGGCACCCAAAAACGCGCATGTGCTTGACACTTGGCTTAGAATTGTAGACAATCTCGAACGGTGTCTTGTGTGGAATCTTGGGTGACGGCAAACGGTTCTTCACATAGACGGCCGTCATTGCCGCTTCAGCCCAGAAGCACTTGTCCAACTTGGCATGATGGAGCATGCTACGACCGATGGTGACGATAGTTCGAATCGCGCGTTCAGCAGTTCCATTGGCTTGATGTGCGTATGGCACCGTGGTTTGTTGCTCGATGCCTTCGACTTCGTAGAAATCTTGAAGCGAGTTCGTCGCAAACTCGCGGGCTCCATCGTGTCGCACAAATTTGACCTTCTTGTTGAACTGCGTCTGTATCATCGTGATGTACTTCTTGATGCACTCTTCGCTCTCTGACTTGGAATGCAGACAAAAACCCTTCATGCATCCGCTGGCTTCATCCACGATCAGCAGCAGATACTTGCTGCCACCCAGAGATTTTTCTTCCATGGGTCCGCAGATGTCGAAGTGGAGCATCTCGAAGGTGTTGTAGGTGCGCTTGTCACGATTACTGGGGAATGGTTTTGGACCATCTTCCCTTATTAACATCCGCGACATACACTTGATCCATTCGGCTTGGAAGGGATGTGAGCGTCCTTGATCATGTGGCTTGTCACCATCCTGCGAAGCACGTCGACTGGAGCATGGCCCATTCGCGCATGTAGATCAACAGCGTTGCTGAGTGATGTCGCATTGGCCGATCGCTGCGTCGTGCGAAGCCAGTAGAGTCCGTCTACAAGATCCGCAGCTGCCACCACTTGATTGGAATCCTTGCGAGCGACGTACATCGTATCCCCGTCAAACACCACTTGGAAGTTGCCGTGCTTGTTAATCTGCGGCACCGAGAGCAGATTTTTGCTCATGCTGGGCACATAGAGCGCGTTCTTGATCTCGATCTCGCGCTCTTCCCCCGTTTGGCAGAATCACCTTTTCCACGATGGTCCCCCACACCTTTGATGGCCGCCTTGTTGCCATCAGCCACCAGGATCTCGCCATCATTGCCTTCGACCAAGCTTGCAAGCTTGAACTTGTCGTGGCAGATGTGATGTGTTGCCCCGCTGTCAACGGCCCACATTCCTGGTCCATTCTTGTTCGTCGAAACTCCGCATTCGAACGAAACTGCAAACGCCACTCGATCGTAGCTGTTGCCTTCATCATAATGTCGCCACTGGACATTGTTTGCCCCCGCGTCCACGACCATTGCCGCCGCGTTGGGCTCCTCGACTTTCATCCTTTTGCTTCGTCCAGCAACGCTCTGCCGTGTGCCCCACCTTGCCGCAGTATGTGCATTGGTAGGGCTTGCGCTCGGTACTGAATGCCTTTGTCGCATCTTCAGTCTTCACCGTTGTCGTTGCCGTTGTCATCTTCTCGCCTTGTCGCTTGATGTGCTCGTTAGTCAGCACCTTGACCACATCTTGCGTGCGCAGCTCTGCATTGCTCATCTCCAAGTTCAGAACCACGTTCTCGAAACTCTTCGGGAGACTGAGCAGCAAGCGGATCGCAATGTCTTCGTCTTCCATCTTGGCACCGATGCTGCTGAGCTTGGCGCCGATGTTCAAGACTTCGTTGCAATGGTGCAAGACGTTGGCACCTTCCGCCATCTTGATGCTGAACAGCTGGCGCTTGAGGTAGATGCGTCCCGCCTTCTGCGACCCACCATAGAGCATCTTCAACCGCGACCACGCTGTCCATGCTTCTTCACAGTTGTCGACCACATGGTGGTAGTCGGCGTCCATGTGGAGCAACATCAACCCGAACGCGATGTTGCTCGCCTTGACGTACTCGTCGGAAGCTCGCGTGTCGGTGAAGGTTGGAGACGTTTCGCGGTTCACGACGTACCAGACTGACTTCGTCAGAAACACGCCGCGCATGTAGCGACACCAGGTTGAGTAGTTGTCCCCATCGAACTTATCGATGGAGACACTGGCCGAGGTGTTGTTGGACGACATGGCGCTTGGGCTCATAACCTGTTGTAACTTGAGCGCGAGGCGAAGAGAAAACGAAGCGGAGAGACCGGAGAGAACGAAGCAGAGAACACTTGCTCACTTGAGGGAGGATTCGAAAGTGATTGATTTATAGGTCTTAACTTCTGCCTACCCTAGACTGCATCCAATCACATGGTGCATCTAATCAACCTGATTTACACGCGTCCAATCATCCTACGCGTCTAATCATCTCTAAGGTAATTACCGATGTAAAAACTATCTCGTAAGAACTACGCGCTAGGTTCGGATTGTACCGGTAACCCTCAATAATCTTGGACCCATCGAACACGACTAGGAACCTGCCACCCTTGTTGATCTGTGGCACCGAAAGCAGATTCTTTCTCATACTTGGTACGAACAGTGCGTCCTTGATCTCGATGTCGCGTTCGTCACCATTGTGCAGAACCACCCGTTCCATGATGGTTCCCACACCCTTGATCGCAGCCTTGCTGCCATCAGACACTGATAGTTCGCCTTCCTCTCGCTCATTCAGGCTTGCAAACTTGGCGCCCATCGTCGCAGATGTGATGCGTCGCACCGCTGTTGACTGCCCACATCCCTGGCATATTCTTGCCCGTCGAAAGTCTTAGCCTCCAGCGAAGCCGCCCAACGCAACTCGATCGTAGTTGTCATCGTAGTTGCTGTTGGTTCGCCCACTGAACGTTGTTGGCTCCGCGTCCACGAGGCATTGTGCCGCGCGTAGGCTCCACCTTGATTTTTCGTCCTTCTGCTTGGTCCAGCACCGCTTTCGCCGTGTGTCCAATTTTCCGCAGTATGTACACTGATGTCGACCTTGCCTCTTGATGTGCATTAGTGATCACGCTCGG